CCTAGCACTGGGAGCAGGGAAACACTGAGCAGGATGGGCATGGTCAGCAGACAGGCAGAGCAGAGGAGCTCAGATGGTTCACAAACAGCACTTGAATCTCCCTTCTTGAGAGCACAGAGGCAGAAAGGGATCTTGGAGTCATTATTGGCTCCAAGATGAACAAGGGCCGACAATGTGAGGTCACGGTTGGCAGGGCTAACCGCACCTTGTTGTGCATCCACAGATGCATCTCAAGCAGGGCCAAGGAGGTGATCCTCCCACTCTATGCAACACTGGTCAGGACACAGCTGGAGTACTGAATCCAGTTCTGTGCGCCCCACTTCAGGAGGGATGTGGACAACATTGAAAGGGTCTGGAGGAGGCCACCTGCATCATCCAGGGACAACAGGGCAGACCCTACAATGAAAGACTGCGGGACCTGAACCTGTTCAGCCTTCACAAGCGAAGTTTGACTGGGGACCTGGTGACAGTCTATAAACTCACTAGGGGGGACCAGAAGGGTTTGGAAGAGACCTTGTTTCCCCTTTTGCCCCCTGGCATGACAAGGAATAACGGCCACAAGTTGTTGGAGAGGAGGCTTAGATTAGGCATCCGTAAGAACTACTTCACAGTCAGGGCGGCTAGGATCTGGAGCCAACTTCCAAGGGAAGTGGTGCTGGCTCCTACCCTGGGGGTCGTTAAGAAGAGGCTTGATGCCTACCTGGCTGGAGTCATTTGAGCCCAGTTTTTCTCCTGCTCAGGCAGGAGGTCGGACTATGAAGAATGATTGAGGAGGCTGAAAAATCTTATTCTCCAGTTTCTCAAGCATCTAGTTTGAATACTGGCAAATGGATAGAGAATAACAACTATTTTGTTACACCTTTAACTTAAAGCAACTTACTAGATATCTTTCTTCTTGTCTCATGCTTGGAGTACGGATCATGTGATTCTGTTCCCCTCTCCAGTCTCCAAATCGCCGAAAAAAATAGTTGGATAAAAATCGGTTGACCGGATCTCTAATAATGTTGATGTACACTGGCTGATCTCCTCCAAACCTAGTATAGGAAAATGTGTAGATGTCATCAGTAGGCTGCAGACAGGCACATTTACATTTCAGAATCAAATAGTAATGTCTACAAAATTTCAAAGCTGTTGTAAGATCACACATTGCAAAGGACATTCTGAATCATTACCAGCTCCTTACAAGGTAGCATAAGGCTTATTGAAACTTGAAGGTAACTACACTATTATACTAGACAGTGTAGGGTGCCACTATGGACTAATTCATTCAGAGAAACATGAGCTTTCATAGCAGAGGTGTCCAACTGGCAGCCCATGGGCCACATTCAGCCTACAAAGGGTTAACATTCAGCCTGAGTGACTATATTGCTCCAGTGGCAGCTGTAGCTAAGGACTTAAGGCTTCCCCTCCTTTCCCCAGCTTCTGCTGCATGCCCCTACCCTAGGGTATGGGGCACAACAGTGTGGCACAGCCTGCAGTGCCAAGGGAGCCAGGAGCCCAGGGCACCCACAAAACAGTGCCACAGGGGAGCCCACAGGGGGCTGAAGGTGGTGGGGTGCCACACATGGGTGCGCCCACACATGCCCATGCATGGTGCAGCAGAGTCAGATGTCTCCCTGCAAAGTGCAGCAGCATGGGGGTACCAGCATGTACCGCATTCAAGTTCAGCATGCAGCCTCTCCCAGCATTGTCCCAGTGGCAACTGGCCCCCAGCCACATTGAAGTTGGATGGCCCTGGGCTACAGCCTACAGTCAGAAGCTATAAATGGACTTTAAACAGAAAGAAATAAAGTCGCTTAAATACAAAGGACAGGGAATGAGTTGAAGACATCAAAGGAATAAAAAAAGCAGTTAACCCACTGAGGGACAGAGGGGTTGTAAATGTTAGTTCAGTTAATCAGATAAGTCGTCTGGATGATTTCTTTTTCTGCAATTTCATGTTCAAGTTGGTTTTTTATAAATTCTGTTGTTTAAGAACAGCTATTCTGGGGGCTGCGATGCCTTGGAAGGTTAACAGTCTTCTGCCATAGGCTTGTGTGTCTTTCTGGAACTCATGTCAGATCAGTGTCTATTCATTTTTTCATGTAGGGATTGCCCTGTTTATCCAACTCAGCAGTGCCCCCTCAGCAGTGCTATCCTTTCCTCACTCTTTTCCTTATCCTTTGTATTTCATAGATTCATAGAAGTAGGGTCGGAAGGGACCTTGTAGATCATCAGGTCCGACCCCCTGCCCTGGGCAGGAGAGAAAACCGGGCTCAAATGACCCCAGTCAGGTAGACGTCAAAGACTCCCAGGGTAGGGGCCATCACCACTTCCCTTGGAAGTTGGTTCCAGATCCTAGCCACCCTGACTCTGAAGTAGTGCCTTCAGATGTCTAGTCTAAGTGCCTTTGGATGTCTAGTCTAAAGACATTTAAATTTAAATGACATAGGCTGCTTACAGACATAATCCCTCCCTCTCCCCCTCCCAAAATGGTGCTTTAGTTTAAACTCACTGTGTTCTCATGCCGAGCCCAGTGCATGCCCAGAAGAGGCATCGTGTTTGTTGGACCTGGCTCATCCAACATCTGTATAGATCAGGCATTATGAATGATTCAGTGGGGCTTTTCTGGCACTTTTATCTAATAGCTGATTGAATTAGCTTTGGATAAAAGCACCAAAAAGCCCTGCTGAAGTGCCCGATCTATGCAGACGCTGCAAAGCTGGGTTGAACTGACATGCTGCTTTTTCCAGTAAAGTACAGTTTGTTTGTTTGTTTCATGTCTGTCAACAATCTTTATTCCTAACTATTTAGTATCCCTGCTTTCTGCAAGTCCACTCATAACATCTGGTGAAGTAGATTGTCACCTATGAAAACTTATAATTAAGTTGCAGATATTTTAGTGAACAAACAGCTGTCCACTAAGAAGGGAAAGTATTCCAATTATTATGCTACCTCAACTCCATCTTTGTATTTATTTGACAAAGGGTATTCTGCAAGAAAACAAATTTATTTTTCCACATACTAATTTTCTGTCTTAGAAATCACGATAAAAGGCAGAAATTGCCCAGGCAGCTCTGTAAACATTCCTGCAACCACCCTTAACTTTAATTTCAAGGCAGTGTCTGAGAGATGACTCCCCCAGCTTGCAAATGTCAATCTCATTTCAGCAGTCTTCATTTGGATGAAGTATTAGAGTTAAAATCATGCTTGACAACTAAATTGAATCCCCACATTTTGATTTTTTGGGGAATCTGCTTTTCCCCCCTTATTTTCATCAGTGGGGATTTAAGATTTCGTTAGTCAGCTTAGTTATAATTAGATATTTATACGGTCCTTTCCAAAGCACTTCCTAAAATATGACATACCTCACCCTCAAAGAATTTAAAACATGAACCATGACTACACAAGATTTTAAGAAAAAGGTAGGGAGAGTTGAGGTGATACCAGCCCAGGTCACCACATCTTGTGAAACCATAAAGTGTGCTGGCTACAAATGACCAACTCCCAGGATCCTTAAAATTCTGGTTTATTAGACAGAATGTGCAAAATTGATAGAGTCAAAAACCATAAATCAAACCTTCAAATTATGAGGGGTACTGTCTCTCAAATACCGCCCCCCCACACACACACACAGTCAAGGGGCAGCAGGGTAGGCCCTATGAAGAGAGGCTAAAGGGCCTGAACCTATTCAGTTTCTACAAGAGAAGGCTGAGAGGGGACCTGGTGGCCATTTACAGACTCACCAGGGGGGACCAGCAGGAATTGGGGGAGACTCTGTTCCCCCGGGCACCGCTTGGGGTTAATAGGAACAATGGCCACAAATTGTTTGAGAAAAGGTTCAGGCTGGACATCAGGAGACATTACTTTACAGTTAGGGCTGCCAGGGTCTGGACTGGGCTCCCAAGTGAGGTGGTACTCTCTCCTACTTTGGTGGTCTTCAAGAGGAGGCTGGACATATATTTGGCTGGGGTGATATGATCCCGGGACCTGTTCCTGCCCGGGGCATGGGGTTGAACCTGATGATCTGTTTAGGTCCCTTCCGACCCTAAGTACTATGATGTAGCAGCTGCAATAGAGCACCCGTGTCAAGTATACCTATCCTGTAAACAGTGCGAGTCCTGGCCTAGTCATAATAGTGACTATGCATGCGTAGGATGGCTAGAGGTTAGAAGTCTCTGGAACATCAAAACTTCTGACCTTGATGAGGCTATGACCTACTTAGAAAACGGAGGCACGCACAGTTGAAACCTTGTTATATAACAAAAGAGCGGGAACTTTATGTTAAGTTATAAAGTGATAATGAATATGAGTGGTCCAAGAAAATGATACTGTTGAGTGACTTTGATTGATCAAGATGTGCAAGCAGTGAATGGACCACGGGATGATTGGCAGGTGGTGTGAGGCGGCCACTACAAAAGCCAGCGTGAGGCACCGTCTTGGGGGTGCTTATTTGTGTGCGTATGTTGGTGCATGTGTGGGTGCGTATGTGGGGAAGAGCGCGTGCACCGAGAAGCTGTGTGAACTGAGTCTGAGAGCCGGAGAATTTTGCATGGTATTGAATCTGCTGGAGAGGCTGGGAAGATTGGGAGTGCAAGTGCTGAGTGCTGTGTGTGTGGGGACACCGGACTTCTCACTTGATATACTCACCTTAATTTCCCATTGGACGGGTAAAGTATCACCCTTCCCTTTTGAGGTCTCCAAGTACTCCATTTGTGGAGGAAAGGATAGAAATCCTCTGCCTGACAGGGACCTGACAGCAGGCCCTACAGCCTGGGTGTCGGTGTTCTTGGCTGCTGCCGCCAGTGACAGACCGGTATGGCTCTCTGTATATAGCATTCGGTTAAATGTTTCTATGATTATTGTTACTTTTGACTTCTAATACAGATTGGTTATAAACCCTTACTTAGTGTATGTCATTAATAATAGTGGGCCTCAGGGTGGGGCTGGGCCGCAGGCCAATACTCTGAGGGATTAACCCCTTTTAGGTGCAAGCAAATCGTAGACCCCTGGCACAGTAGAGGCCTAACAAACCTCTGTCCCTGTCATTACCATTGCCCCTGTGCCAGGCCAGTCTTCAATCCTAAGCACTGGAGTCTGCCACTGATGGCCAGTCGAGATTTCCTCCAAGCATTGTTGTTTCCAGAATGGGGGGTACCAGCTGGTCTTTTTAGCTGGATGGGTAGAGTGTTTGTCAGGTCAAGAGGGCCCCACTGAGGGTTACACTTCACAGCCTCTTATCCTCCCCCAGCAGACTTCTGTGCTCCCCCCCGGTTTTCAAATTTGCCCAATCCAGGGGCCCCTGACCCTTATGGGACATCCCCTGGATGGCTTCCAGGGGACAGCTGTCAGCCCCCGGGTCACATCCATTGGTACATGCAGTTCCAAGTGTCCATTGGTGATTTTGATTTAGTTTTTGGCATTGTCCGGGCTCTGAAAGTGGCTGATCGGAAGGTATTCAGTCCCAACAGCCAGTCTCCCACATTTAACTCAAATGGGGGTTTCTGTTCCTTTAACAATGAAGTTTCAGGGAGTTCTGGGCTCTGTATTGATCTTTTCCTCTTGTCAGTCTACGGTTTTCTAGGTGTTAATCCATGCTTGTTAACTTGCTATTGTAGCTAGTTACTGTCCTTACCAATCACTCACTCACTCACTCCCATTCATACAGAGATCAGCCCCAATACATAGAGACCGTAGTTTGATTCCCACCCTTGCTACTACTGTTACAGCATACAACTTACTTCTAAAAAAAATAAAATACATTTGTTACAAAGTTGAAAGCATAAAATATAAAAGGTGAAATGCCATGACGCATACAATAGATAGAATACCAAATATGAGGGTAAAAATAGAAATGCACAATACCATACTATACCTATATAAGCCCTTATTAAATGTGATTTCATAAAGCATCTATTTTATGCTTATCTATTTTATATTACCTAAGTAATTCCATATCCTTATAGTGAAAAGAAAGAAGAGAAGGGAGGAAGGAAGAAAAGGCAGAAGAAAGAGAAATACCCCAAGGAGGGACTGGGAGTGCAGGCAAGAAGCC